TTAAATTAATACAGTGAGATACAATATATATATATATATATATATATATATATAGCTTCAAATTATCATATTAACATATATAGCTTTACATGAATAGTTATAACAATTTTAGAGCTTCAAATTAACAGCTGGATCAATATATATATATATATATATATGCATATATATATATATATCATATAGCTTTGAACAATTATTATTGTCATATATAGCTTCATGCGAATAGTTAGACCAAATATCCATAGCTTCAAATTATCAGTTTGGTCAATATATTCATAGTAATTAACAGCTAGACAAATGTATCGGAATATCATACGAGAATGATATATTGTAAGCCAAACAATCAGAAAGCTATCACCATGCTATAGTCTATGATTCCTTTCAAGTTAGTGGGTCTACTTCAGTAGGAGGTGACATGTGTCAATTTAAAAAGTTTGTATGATTGTTCAAACGAACTACAACACTTGAATGAATATAGGAGTGTATATGTCAATAAATTCCTTATCACATAACGACGAATGGACGCTGTGCAGCATTTTTGTCAAGAAAGTTATGCGTTGAAAAAAGTACAATGGATGAGCCACTTTGCCATACACTTCCCCAGATGCATTCACTACAAACAGTTCCGATCTGTGGCCCTATTCACTTTATTTATGATCGATTGTAGACTCAAATACACTGTTCACTGACATAGTTTCTTATACAAAACCTTCCGACCATCAATGAAAATGGAAACATCCTACAGAAGGCGGCAGTCGACGATCACCTATGTTGAACCGAAGGCCGAGTGTCCGTTCTGCGGGATGTCTGGTATGGCTTGTGTTGTGTTTTTTGCTGAGCTATGCGCACGTACTGTTTGGTTTGTTTGCTTCATTCGTTTGCTGAGTTGCCGTGATTCGACGTGGCTACAGTCTGTCACTTCACTGGTATGTATGTGTTCGTAATATATTTTGGAACTACTCATGGCTGGAATGTTTTGCTGTATTCTGTACATGAAACATACACAGAGGGAATGATAGTGTGAATGACAGTGGAAAACTATGGAAATCGGTATCCAAGATGCTCTGCAGTGGTGTACATACGAATCTTATTTATTTTCATACGAATCCTATTTCTATTCAAACGAATCCTATTTATGTTCAATTCTAAATGTCAGGTATCCACGAGCACGCACTGAACTTCAATGGAAGTCAGGCCGTGTACGCGTGCAGCATGAGCGAACACTACACGCGCATATATCAACAAGAGGATCTGCAGTCAGCATTCAGCGGTGTGGTGGCTGGCATTGATGCAGAGTCGACAGGCAATGACACAGCTGTACCCGAACAACAGGACGAGCCCTTCTGCTACGGTTCAGGGACAGTCATGCTCAATGGGTTTACTTTCAAGTATGTCTTAACTTCAAACGTGTTTAGTGGTCTGGCGGAGTTTTGAAAACCCTAAAATCCTTAACCCCTAAACCCAAAATGTCACATCCTCTGGTGGTCAAGGTTGCGATCGAAGACAGTCATGCAGGAGATGCTATAGCACGTGCAAGCATCTGTGTTTGATCTCATGTAGGGACCTTTTGTCTGGAACTGGTGACAACACACGCATCTATCTTGCCTCAAGGTGTGAATGACACATGACTGTCGTATATATATCTGTCTATTTGGAGCTTGTTGGTTGTAGTCTTCCCAACAGCGTGTCTCGCTAGCATTAATCATTCAACTGTTATCCAGGTACTTATTACTCTCCTATTTTTTTTGTCGCCGCACCCGCAGTATGGACAATTGCATCACATATCTCTTCGACGGATGGGTGCTGGATACCCCGTTCAAGTACGCCGGAGCCACCGTACTCACATTCTTGGTTACTGTTTTCGTCCAGGTATGTCAAGCATCTTTAGCAGTGTTGCTTGAATTTTCTTTCCTTTTCCTTGTAGGTACTTCATTCGCTCGTATGGCTTGTTTTCATTTGTGTAAGTGACACCTCATCGGCTCACAGATTTCACAAGCTCTCGATCAAAATCCATCCGCTTCGACCATTGCGGGCTGTGGGTTTTGAGTGCGGCCGAAAACCTGTGGATATCTAACCTTCTTTGTTTTCTATCACAGGTTCTGAGTAAAGTGCGAATGAAACTGGAACAAGCACAAGTCAAAAGCCAATTAGCAGGTTTGTTCTATTTTATTTCCTACTTCGGATTTCGTCGTTGTGCCATTCGGCACCTTTTCAATGAAGTCCTCTACTACCAAGTCTAGTCTCAATACATTGTTCATAGTTTTTTTTACACCAACTCTCGTTATGCGTCAACGAAGGCAGGAATAAATTTGATACGAGCATGTCCTTTTACTATTCCATCAGCAGGCAATTGAGCTCTACTAATGTATTTAAACCGCTTCATGTCTATCGCTTCCGCTGTCCACAGATCAACGCCAACCTCGCGTCTCTGAATTGCTGCTCAATAGTTCGCTGGTGTTGGTATCAGTCACATTTGGCTACTGGGTGATGTTGTTGACTATGACCTACTCAGTGATACTCTTTTTAGCTGTGGTGTTTGGGCTGGCTGTAGGACACTTTTTGACCAATTTCTTCACACATCGAGAAATCACAAATCCTTTCTCGGAATATCATACCTCTGGAGAAGCCCCACGTATTTCATCACTACATGCGGTTGTAGTGGATACAGATTCAGAAGAGAAGAAAGAAACCTATTGTCATGAGGATGCGGAGAGTATTTCCGATCTGATGCACGACCCAAGCAGTCCTGATTCTGGTAAAGCGTCGGAGGCAGTAACAAAGGACTCTCCGGCACCTAAGGCGTTGCCAGACACGCCATGTTGTCCGTATTAGTCGCCCAGATAAAGAAACTTAGTCATAAAAGAGTGTAAATCAACATACCACTCATGTGGAGCATCTAGTGAAATCTGTGAGAATATTCAATTTTGCCATAACGCTCACTAGTAGACGATACTATGAATTGTTACTTTCAAAAGAGAGCCAACCTTTCTATAAATTTCTATATCTATATATATCTATATCAATAAATAGATATACATAC